TTGTTTTATTCAAGGATTATTTTTCTATGTAAATAAAAAATTCGCTGCTTTCAATGATCGCCCGTGCCAACACAAGGCCAGGTACTTAGCAGGTAGACCGATATCAACTCATTTACATTTACTTTCACATGCATTCCACTCTCGTCATTAAATCTGCTTGTGGAAACAAAATGTGAAAATACAAATTCAGGTAACTTTTTCCTAGTGCATCAAACATGCTCTTTAAATACCTAGTACGGAAAGAAACTAGTTTAAATATCGATGTTCAACTAGTTTTTCACCACACCACAACTAGTTAAAGATCTGACTTACTTCCTTGGAACTAACTGTTGACTTTAACATGGCGATATGCTAGGCATCAGTCAATTATCCGACTCTGCATTTGATTTCAACTACTTTAAAATGCATTAACTTAAAGCAATATTAAGTCAGTATATTTCTTTTACATATGACTTTTCATGGTGAAATAGTTAATCGACCGCAGTTAGATGATTTTACAGCTAATATTGAACTAAATATTTGCAAAGATATGTATGGAAAGTGTAAGCATTTGATTTATCCCAATGAGGCTGCTATGTGATTATACATCAGTTTGAAGTTAGTTGCTGCATAAGTAGAAATTAACTAATTTTTCTGAGATAATTGGTTGAGCTACGCCGTACTGGGTATGAACACCCGAAATTGAGAAAAAAAACCTGGCCTATGTCGCTCAGTGCAGCAAGCGGCACACTTTCTTTATTATCATCATAATTAAATGAGAGACATAAGGCTGTATAGCATACTCTTTCAGACACATAGCAGCCCTTCATACTTATGGACAAGCATTCTTGAGTGCACTGTTATGTATTCGTTGCATTTTTAACAAACGGAGTAGGTAGCATTTCTACCTGCCGTCTTGACGCTTGGTATAAAGGTCGAGCAACAAGTGCAGCATAACTCAAACCACGTTAAACCTCTGACCTCCGAGCATATATTGAGCAGTATTCGCAATGCGTTTGGTAAGTTTTTAACAAATATGTATATGTTTTAAAATTTATATTTATTTACACCCTACAAATTTTTTTACAGTTCACAATACTCTTCTGTATTATAACCACATCATGGGCCAATCCAATACTGAAGCTATTCCACGAAAAATCGAAGGAAATCACCTTAGAAGCAAAAGCTTGCTGTGGGCAAGGCGGTGCAATCATACACGGTTCAATTGGTGTAGCCCAAGTGCCGGCCACCTCCATACATACAAATTTGGGAGGTTTTTCGGCGACTGGTAATCTCTATAATACTCAAGCGCATTCATCGGGAGTGCACAGTGGTCATTTGGTGCATGCGGCAGGTGGTAATAGTGCAAGCTCCTATAACCATTTTGAGACTAACGAGCGTCCGATCCTAAATTATGGCAGCGGGCAAGCACAAGTTCATAATGTGGCTGTTGCTGGAGCTAGTGGGGGAGCTGCTACTCTCGCAGCTCCTGCGTCGATCACTCACACATTGTGGGAGAATACAGGAAATCCGAATTTGGCTATAATGCAGGGCGGCGGGGCATCATTCGGAGCAGCCCATGGTCAGAGTGCAAGTGGCTGGAATGTTAATGGCGGTCACAATAATTACAACGCATATGCGCCATCAAGTTATGGTGGTGGTGAAACATTTGGTAACTCAGCTGCCGCAGCTGCAGCAGCAACTTCTGCTGCATCATCGTGGAATCAACAAAATGGAGGTCACCAAAATACGGGTAACGGTGCCTTTTCCCACTCCAGTTCTAGCTCATGGAGCTCTTCACATTCTGGTACTGCTAAGTAATGATTGCTATCCAAATTTTGTGACGCACATACATACATACATACGTATATGTGTAAGAAAATTAATAAAGAAAATAGTGTAGTAAAATTTTAGTAAAATAAGAGGTATTCGTTGACTTAAACTAGCTGCTTAATTATAAAGTCAAAGTAACAAAAATGTAGTAGCTAAACCATTTGACTGGTCAATGAGATTGTTATCGCAATAAACTCACATTAACGATTATAATTTTGTATTGATTTTTTTTACTATTTTTAACAAAACGGGCTTGCCAGCCGCTAAGGAATTGAAAACATAATATTCTAAAAAGATTCATTAAAAACTACAAAAAATGTATGTATTATATGTTACGTGTTAAGCCGCATTTACTGACCAAAGGTGCACTTTATGCACATTTTTCAAAATAATATGCCATGAAAGCGAGTCCTTCGAATCGCAATAATCTCGGCGCACGCCTCGCTGCAAACTTAATTTGTTGGTTTTGTAGCAATTTGCGCAACAAATTCATTGTATGTAACTGATTTCATTTACATTAATTTATGACAAAGTTTCATAGGAAAATAAAAAAATGTTTCTTTAATGGGTGTTTCAATAGTAAGTACTGTTTTACAAATCTGGGATAATGCTTTGGACAAAATTCTTAAACTTAATGGACAGCGATTTAATAATGCAAAGGTCTATACGCTCATCCTTTTTCTGCATTGTCGTCGTCAACGACTTCTGTAATGACTTACTTTCTGAATGAGTACTTAAATTTAGTTACTACAAAATCGACAGGAAGGTCATCACTGCCCTGCAGTGGCATAGTCAGTACTTCCGTAAGAGGTGGGCTGACAAAAAATTTCCTGTGATAAATTGAAGATGAGCGACACATTGGTTAGAGGCGTCATCTATGTGTTGCATTCATATCTGACAGCGATTTAAATGCTTCAAATATGAGAAAGAAATTTTGTAGGTCAACTCAGAACGCCACATTACGTAAACAAACCGAATTCAAGGCAATAACGTCAAAAAGGTCAGCCAGATCGGGTATCGGTTCCTCGGTTCTGTATATCATATAAAAGAAAAAATTCTGTAGAATAAAAAAAAAATGTTTAAATTTGTTGGTGTATAAAGAGGAATAAGTACTGAAAAAGTCCTTTTAAAATTTTATCCTTCAATATCCTTGAAAATTTGTTATATGTATTTTTAAAAATATTTTATGTTAACGACTAATATAACAACGACCATATAAAATCAATTAAATGGGCAATATATACCGTTAATACATATTCGTCCTTGTGAACCACATTTTTTTTAATAATAATAATATTTTTTTAATAATTAATAATTTTTTTTAATAAGATTTTTTTTTTTTTAATATTATTTTGAATTAATCATATATTTGAAATTTGAAAGTCCTTTAAAAATTAAAAACACATTTTCACTATATCTGACTCATAGTTTTGTGGGTGTATTGACTGTTTGTTGTATTTTGCAACTTTTCGCTTTGGTCACAAGGTGTTATACATACACGAATAATACAGAAGGAAAAACAGTTGTATATTATCTCTGACAAAATTTTCAGATTCCTATTGGTCGCCCTTTTAAACGTGTATAAGCATACCCTGCCGGAAAAATTATAAATTTATAAAAAATAACCCACTTGTAGTTTTCTTTTTTGTGGGATTTCTTTGAAATATATAACTTGTAGTTAACTACAAAAAAAAGCTAACTTAAACCTATTTGACAAGTAATGCAGGAGTCATGCAGACGTAACCGGAAAATTATTTTCTTTAAATAAGTTTCTATTTAATAAAATATCCTCATAGAAATTTTACTTTGAATACACTTTTTTCTGCGCTTCACAAATACTTTTTCGATTGAAAGGAAGATCGAAATTTTATATTGTAATTTGAAGTTAATGATATTTTATGTCCAAAAATTGTTAATAACATGTTAGTCTACATCTAATGCAGCTTTCTTCAAATAAAATATACAGATAATAGTGATCTCCAATATCTTCCTAATCAACTTCAAATAAACTTATAGTCATATACATTTCCTGCAGGGTTTGTTCTTGCATATACATTTACAAATAAATATGTTTGTACTTATGTATAGTGCATCACATTTTCGTTTTAAATATTTTTTCTTTTGTTTATTTACAGTTCGCCATATGAAGGTGTGACAATTTATTCACTTTGTCTGCTACACTTTTGATTTTGTAGCCTGTAAGTCTCGGTCGCAGATTGGCTTGTCAACTGCATTAGCTGCGCTTGCTTAGACGAAGTTAAAATTGCACTGTCTTGTTGGTTTCTGATGGCTCTTTTTTTAGTTGGAAGCAAAAATCGCCTTCATTGTTTTAAGTTAACGCAATCTTGCATCTTGTGCACTTTTTGTAATAAAATTAGCATTTTAATTTAAGTTGAGGTTGACATGCGTAAATTTGACTTAAACTTGTTGTTCACGCCTTCGCACTCTTGCCGCCAATATGAGAATATGTATGCGCATAATTTAGGAGACAATAGTTTGGAGAACTTGGAAGATGGTTTTAATTTTTTTAGGACGTAAATGCGCCAAACTGAAGGAATTAGAGAAAATCTGCTCAGAGAAAAAAGGTAAAGTTATAAAAAGATGCCCTTAAAACGAAAAGAGGGAATCGACTATACATACGGCGACCGTATTTATGACAGCCAAGTGAAGCCAAGTCCTTTTCCACCTGGTTTTTCCAATGCAGACGGGGCCTTCTTCTTCCTCTGTTACCAGCATCGCTACCCGCGTTAAATAGTACTTTCAAAGCTGGAGCGTTTCTGTCCATTCGAACGAGATGACCTAGCCAGCGCTCGCTGCACTATGTTTATATCGTTGTAAAGCGCATACAGCTCATCGTTAAATCGTCTGCGGTACTCGCTACTATCGTCAACGTCTACGTCACCGTGCCTCCGAGCCATATACCAGTACCGACATGATGAGTGACTAATATAGTGTGATTTATGTACGACGAGAGAGGACTTTAGTTCTAAATTCCCTACTCGGCTCGGGATTCTTACCCCGCAAAATTTGTTACAAATGTTCCTAGGCAGGGAAGAATTATGGAAATATCAGACTACTTTTGAAGCGCGAGTGGCATTTAAAGCATTATTTTTCCACTCGGATTTCGATCAAGCACAATGAAGTGCAAGCATTCGGATCCAGCTTACTTTTGTTGGCACCTTGCTGCTCCTAAATAGTATCTTATATAGGGTGATCCAAGGGTGATGCAGATCTTTCACAGCAATTATTTGTTAATGTTTTTTTGGTTTTTTTCATACAACTGGTTTTGGCAAAATTAGTCGTGGACGCAAAAATGATTCAAACGTTTTATGTAAATGCTCGTTTGGCATAAACTAAACTGCCGGATTTTGGGTAGTAAAAATCCACATGTTATTCAAGAAAAAGCTATGCACCCACAACCAGTCACTGTTTGGTGTGGTTTTTGAGCTTGCGGAGTCATCGCACCGTACTTATTCGAAAATGATCACGGTAACGCTGTCACGGTGAAGGGTGAACGTTATCGTCACATGACAACAAACTTTTTATGGCCAGAATTAGATGACAGGGGCAATATGTGGATTCACACACCACACAACGGTGCCACTGGCCACATAGTCCAGGAAAAAATATCCTTATTGTGACCGAAGTTCCCAGGACGCATTAAGTCACAAAACAATGACGACGAATGGTCGCTGATATTGACACCATTGCACTTGTTTTCTCCGGGGCTACGTGAAAAGTATGTTTTATGGCATTAAGGCCGATACGATTCCATAGTTGAAGATTGAAATCATACACGTTATAAAGATATATGTATATCCCAAACTATGCCAAATGGATATGGAAAATTTCGTTTACGCATCCGCAGGGCATTTATTGTGTTTCAAAAATAAATGCCAGAGACTAAAAAATATAAGGAAGTGAAAAAAATCATTTCGACAAATTCGGCTGTGGTTGTTTTATTTAAAAACAGAAAATCCGCGGAATTTTTGATCATCCTGCCTGTAGCAAATGTTCTACTCGCATGCTAGAAATTTTACATAAGCAAGTTTGTGTTTATATGCAGTATGCTTTTGTGTTTGTGGGTGTGATCGTGCTTAACAGATACAGGTTTTGTTATTCGTTCACTTGACGAAAAGAAAATTAATATGAGTACGTACACATACATACATACACAAATATTTATGGGGAGAGACGTTAACGTTGAACGTAAGATTTTCTGTTAACGTAAATTTAAAAGTAACATTCAAATGTACATACACTGTAATAGTTTTGTTTGAAGCAGAAGTACGGTGACCATTCGTAGCGAATTTTGGCGGGACAGTACCGACTTTGAGAAAATGGTTCCGCAGAATTTTTTGTAATAGTCGGAACGTATAAGTCTCCTGATAAAAACGTAAAACCTTGACAAATGCTTTTGGTTTTTGGTAGGAAACTTTTTAAACATCTATAAGACGGTCAAACCAATAATCGTGGACGTTCAAATTTTATACCAGGTCATATTTGGGGATTAACGACCAATAAATATTACGCTATCAAATAAGTTTTAGCTCCACACAACTTAATTCGGTCTTCAAAGGGTTAATTTAATAGGAGTCTCCCTTTACTCTGGCCCAAAAACCATTTTTCGCACAAACGTGTTAGCATTTTCTTTATCACAAGGATTATACATAGAATATAAGGGAACCATAAACATAGCATCCTTATATTTTATGATCTGGCTATATTGCAGTCCATCATTCTTGCTCCAAATTTTTTTTAAATTTTTTTAGAATTGTTTTTTTTTTTTTTAAGAAACCTTACTAACTTAGCATTAGTGACATTATAAAAAATAGTACCAATTCCCTCAAAAAATGGATATCAGAAATATATTGTGTGTATGTATTTTTGCTATAATTTTTCAAGTTTTTTCTCTTTATTTTATTTTAAATAAAACTGTATTATAAGCTCTTATGTCTTTTCATTATAAAAACAAAATTGTATGTTCGGTTTCGATGTTAAAAACGTTCCGATTTTCGTCCACAAA